TTTATGAGAGATATTTAAGAGCTTATGTAAATCTTGTAAAGAAGCTGATCGCTAAGGTCTGCCTTTTTTTTTACAACTACTTTTTGCTGCTGTCTTTTTCTTGCCACCGTAAACACTCATTTTGTTCACAGGTCACGTTTTACAAATGAGCTATGTGCCTGTTGTTCTAGCGTGCTGTTATGTCACCTGAGCACAATGTGCACGTGCACGCTTACTGTCAAGAGAGAAAGCCGACTGGTCTTAGGAAACAGAGAAATACTGCCGTTGAAATGCTGCTACAGCACCTTCTACACGATTCAGACAGCACTGAAGATACAATAAAAGTACATTATTTAAACTACAATACTATATTTTGTTTAATTTTATTAAGAGAGCTCTGTTCCATAAATTATATACCTGAACAAACTGGAAATAAAACAAGCATATGAATAGATCAACAGCTAATTTCATGACACCAATTTCATGAAACGCTATTAGTGTCACCCCCACATACTAAACAAATCAACGAAATGTTTAGACTTACATGATGATATAACAGTGCTGTAGCATTCGTCTCAGGATTAACAACTCTGATAGTAACTGTGCAGCATTGACACTGCAGGGTGACAAAGCACTGCATTCAGATTTCAGGGTACAGATTTGACCAAGTTCACCTCCGTTCCATTTTACTGTGCCACTTGCCGTGTGTAACGCTATTACAGGTTGTTAGTGCACTGCTTTGTTTGCTGCCGTTTGATTACTTTTTGCAGGATAACCGACAGCCACTGCGGTTGCCGCCTCCCATCGAAAAGGGACTTTACACACGTTTGCAACCTCTGATGCTGAGCCGCTCTGTGAAAGCCACAAATGTATCATACCTGACAAGGATCTCTGTGGATCTCAACTTTACACCTGATAAACACAAACCCGGAAATATTATAGAGACTGGGAGTCTAGAACAAGTCAAATATGAGACTAAAATTATTTCAAAACAACTGTGGCTGTAGGAGTGTCAACGTCTGGTTTTTTGTTTCCCGCCGCAATTCAGCAACTTTGTGTAAATTGCAAACTTGCATTTTGAAGAAACGCCAAACTCAAGACATGTTTCGCCAATTGGTTACAATGAAATTAATAATAATTGCTTTGTGGACGTGGCTGGGACTTGAGTTCATTGTGGCTTTTTGGTATTTAAAATATTATTGAAAAAAAACCCTCAATGAAACAACAGCTGAAAATAACGTAAATCTTTTTTCTGGTTTAAAAAAAACATTAAAAAAAACGAGTAACTACTTGAAACTGGCAAATACTGTCGCACACAATGGAAATATTAAATAGGAAATTATACACTGTTTTCCCACAATCTCCTTTTAAATTTTTCATTATTATCTTGCTATTCATATGTTAGTCATTTAAATGTAAATTATTTTATTACAATTAACGTTATTTTAAAAACACTGGGTGTAGACTTCATTCAATTTGTCTAAATTCATTTGTGACAGTATCATCTGAAGACACTATACTGTGGTAAAATGTAACTTTGTGTAACTTTGCTTTGTTTACAAAAAAAAAAAGGAATGATGCATAAAAAAATATCATCCAGTACTACCAAAGTTAGCGATATCAACAAAACTACTTTAATCACAAAAACAACAGTGTTTATCTAGTCAGCACATGCAGCAAATGGCTATCCACATTATCTGCTTCAACACATAATTCCAGCCCTGGCTAATCTATTGACCAAAATGATTAAAGAAATAACTCCTGTGAAAATAACCATCTCCAACTGAGTGGTTTGGGAATGGAGCCCCACCCTGTTTACAACACTGAGAACAAAAACAAACTCCCTCCAAGGAGGCCAGGCAAATGCAAGTCACACACTCCAACCAATACAGGCAAACAACAACAACATCTGAGGATCTACTGGGAGAGCGGGCTACCAAACAACAGCAGCCTGCACACAAACAAGGTGAGAGTTTCGAACTGTCAGAGGGAGTGAACTGGAGACTGAAAGAAAGTCTGTGTGTTTGAGAGAGAGAGAAAGCGAGACTCGGTGTGAAAGTGGAATTGAGTAGCAAAAGAAAAGTCAAATACCACCCGCGCCGCCCCAGTCTCAGGTCAACTGAATCATCAGGAGTCAGGGAAGATACCGTCACCGCTTTCCATGAATAGCTCACAAAACCACATCAGAATGACTTCACCGAAGCAAAAACAATAGTTTGAGAACACTCTTCCTCAATATCCAGGGGACTCTGAATGAAGAAGTAATGAATCTCAGTTAACAAGGCCATTATCAGTGAGAGAGCTACATCATCCCGATGGACTACGGATCCATAAGGCCCTTACGTCCACTGGCCTTTTATTGTCGCTATTATCTCCTAAGGTATGCCATTAACAATTGTACAAAAAAAGATGAAAGTATCGTGTGTTTGATCTCACACTGTACATCATCATAGTAAACAATGAGGCTGTATAAGGGACACAGGCCCAATTAGCCATCTCTGCTCTCAGCTGTCAAGTGTTTAAACAGCTTGCTAGGATGATAATAGTAACCTGCATACTTTCATCTGTGCTCCAGACTCATCAGCATGGTAGCACCTTTGCTTAAGCGCTGCACTGCATCTTGGGTAATTACTGCTTCCCAATTACCTCCCAGCTGGTAAATATATATCAAATAAACAAGCAACAACCCGTCAATTAGGAGCGCCGTTTCATAATGGGGGTACAAAATGATGTTTTATGCAGAAACAGAGGAAAGCAGAGAGAAAGGGGTAGCATTCAACATCAAAGTGAACTTGTATCTGTTAACTGCACTTACAGTACATCTGAGCATAGCAGTTTGTGAAATAATTAAATCACACGTGTTTACAACTAGTATGAGACTCTAATTAGAGGTATTTTTAATTACAAACAGGGTGAAAAAATACAGCTTGTGATGGTGCTGTTGACTGAGAATGGACTTAAAAATGAAATGTGGCCTTTTCTTCACAGATGAGTGAAGTGGGACAGTAACATTGTCGAATTCAAAGGCAAGGAGAACAGCTGCAGCAACAGTCTGTCAACAAAATTTGCATTGCTGCTCTTTCCTCATCTCCATTACTCTCTCCTGTCTCTCCTCAAGCCCACGGAGCTGCCGGCTCAGATCTGAGTACTCTGATGGCTTATCACATAGCGAGCAGCAGGCTAAGCCGGAGTGATGCGCCCAAAAGACATGATCAAAGCACACCAACTTTCCACCCAGCAATGATGATGGAAGAGCAGGCTCTGCCATGTTATGTTTCTTATTACGCTTGGACTGGCAAGTGAAAACACAGCAAAGAAGTCAAAGATGAGGCCCTAAAAAAATTTCTCCTGCAACCTCATTTTATATTTTTATTATTTTATTTTTTCATATCCCTACTATACTTACAGAGGCTTAAATAGTAGTCTGTGACATTTTCCTATCAATAAATGTCAGTTTTGCTACTCTTATTCCCACAAACCATAGTATTGATCTAATCTACAAGCAAGCCCTGAAAGCTTTTATTTTGAAGTGCTAGAGATCCAGCTTTGGATAGGTTTTAAGATTTACACAGTGCGATTCAAGTAAAGTCTCCTTTTCTTCTGCATGAACAGAGAAATCTGTGCCATAGCATGAAAAGCCACCAAAGATAAAAAGTGAAAATTACAGCGTGGCAACACAAGAATCAAACTCTTCACGAACAGACAAACTACATCGCAGATCTAACCACATGGCTCAACTAGAAAACGGATTCTAGTGAAGTCAGCTTAAAGATACTAAACCACACAAGTTGCCACTGACATATTGAAAACATTTTTTTTTTGCCTTAATTTATTACAATTTTTGGATTATGATTTTTCACATTGTATTGAGTCACGTCTACGTTAGATAAATATCACAATTCCTACACCAGTGAAACAGGCTGACTTTTTAACACCCTGCATCATATGAGCTCTGGAATTACAACACAGCTGACCCTTTTATCTCAACAGTAACCATTAGGGATGCACCCAATCACCTTTTTTTCCATTATACCATGTCCTAATTTAACACCGTTGGTGGTTAGGTGTAAATAAGATGCATTCCTCACTGTGAGAAACAGAGTGGGACTGTCTAAGACAACATTGGTCTTGACTCAGACACTGCTTTCCAAACCTGGTAAAATAAAAAGTAACAAATAAATACATCAATTTTACCGACTTTAAAGAGAAAAAAAACAAATACAAAGTTTAGAAATCGTATTCATCTTAATCATCGAATTCATTTGCACTAGTTTAATCTCACTTCAGTGTAGGCAGCTGTTATTTACGGTCATGTATAGTAGTGTAGTTTCACCTTTCCTCCACTCAGTCTGAGTGCACTTTATTTTACTGTTCCTCACACACACACACACACACACACACACACACACACACACACACGTTTACGTGGAGTGGAGAGAGGATACGAATGAAGTGAAAAATATTAAAAGAGCTGGCAACAACACTTAATGTTACCACAAGTGCAGTAAACACAAAACATAAAAACACTGAGAGAGACCAAGAGAAAGAAAGCATCACTGCAGTTTTTCAGTTGACCACAGTTTGCAGGTTATCTTCAAATTTTGGCAAACATAGCCATGAAATCTATTGACATAACTAGCGTGAAAACCCCCCAAACTGCTGAGATTTTCCTGTTAGCTTCTTCGATGCTACTTTAGCTCTCTGCTTGCACCTGATTCACTGCTGCTGATATATGGCATAGTAACTTAGATCATATTGCTGTCATTGATGGTTGAGTCAGGTTTTGACGTCAGGATTTTCCTGATATTCTATCCAAACATTAAATTAGTTCATCTGTGATTACGGTTTTATCTTTTTTCTGCAGTGACAAGCAAAGCAACAAACGTTAGTGTCTACATCACTTCACACTGTAAGGAAAAAATACTTATCTGCGAGACAAATCACACACAGAGAGAGGCTTCAAACATAAGTCAGTGTCTACATAAACTATGGAAGTTTTAACAGAGTTGAGAACCACTTACAGTTCTGATGTCACAAACTGTCACAAGTGGCTTTAGATTATTCTCAGAGCTGGCTTCACTTCCTGTCCATGTTGTCCTGGAATGACAAACAGAACAGCACGTTATTATCTAGGGGGTCAGTAAACAACCTATATACACTCAAAACACACACATATGTGGTACATCTTTAGGTAGTGTAAAAAACAAATACGCTATTATGTTGTTACTACACTGGCAAATATTAATAATAAACATATTTCTATCATAATGTTACACTGATGTTCAGGTCACAGCTACTGAGTAATGTGTGAGTGAATCTGTGAGCAAAACAAACCGGGATGTTGCAGAAATACGGTTCATTGACACAAAAAAAAGCCTGATTAAATTCAGCCGAAAATGTGAGTTAATCTGTGTGAATGATTATCAATACATTTTGGAGAAAAATCCCTAAAAAATGATATTATCAGCCCAACCGTGCAACATCATAAACACACACACAGACTGGACAGCTGATAGAAACAGGTGCTGAGGTTCAGCCTGGCAGCTGAGCACAGCTTGCAGCATATGCCTGAGCCCCTCATGTCTGGACCAAAATGTTTGTAGCTTACCTGCATCCTTCCCCAAACCTTCTGTGGTGTTGTATTACAGAGGAAATTCTGATTTTTAAGCTACTGCATTGTAGCTCGAGAGAAAAACATGGACTCGTAGGAATAAGAGCACAATTATCATATTAAACTGTTTGGATATTCGTATAAGTCTACCAGCAACAATTCATAACACTGTCTATTCACTTATTTATAACTAGCTAAATTTGGAATATTTTGATTATTTATTAAAAATATATAGATGTGGATGGGTTCCGCTGCACTCCTAAAAACACCAGTGTCCCTTCTCTTAAATTGTTTGTTCCTGTTTGCTTTCTCTTATGTGATTAAAATAAATACATTTTATTTTGAAATCCAATGTAAAAACACCATAGAGGATAAAGTAAATATTCTTATATATTTAAACAGCTCAAGCATAATTTGTTTCCCAGCAATAAACAGGCTGTGCTCCAATGTTGCACTGTATTCCTAAAACACAACACCAGTAGTAAATTCATTTTGTAACTCAAGTTAATTGATTGTAATTGCATGCTCTCTCTCCTCCCATGCAGGCGGATGACATTTTTTTGTCAGCATCCCTGCCTTTATTAAGGACAGATGACAGTAGAAGACAGTAATTAATGGCTGCCCAAGTTAATAGCCATCCTGAGCGTTTTGGCAGTCTCCATAGAGACCGAGGAGCTGCGCAGAGCTCACCTGAAGCTGTCCACTCTCTGACCAATCGCCTTTGCTGTCACAGAGAACAGTCTGCCAGGGGCCGCGCCACAGGGGCCGGGACACACTAACCTTTACCCTGGAAATATTGTTCTGCTTTCCTTTGTTATCCATTCATGTAACACGGCATTAATGAGCATGCTACACTCATATTCATATTGCCGGTACTCTTCTCCCCCTTTTGTGTCGTGTGAATCAAACATGCAAAAATCACACGACAAATTCATTTACCAGAAAATTCCCTTTTATTCATCTGTCACTTGTCTTGGTTTGTGGAAGAAAAAAAAAAGGTTTCGAGCAACTGGTTTTGAGGGCGTCTTGTAATCTGCAATCAAATGAGGGGTGAAGCAGGCAAATAAATCTGAAGGAAACAATATAGTGAAAGCAGAACCTTATTCCCACACTGGACCCGAAAATAACTCTCCTTATCATTCAGCTGCGAGCTCGGGTGCACAGTCAGTTTACAGCCCCTCTGTACCCAGCACAGGGTATTTCAATGTGTGTTCACAAATACTGAGCCGTCAGATGAAAGAGAGGGCCGCTCCACTCAGGGATGGGAGTCCTCGCACTGAATGCATGAGTGACTGATTACTTTCTTACCAGTTGAACCTCAGCTCTCTACAAAGAAGAGCCTTACCCAAGCCTGAAGAGGCCAAACTAGTAACAAGGGCTTTCTAAATTATACAAAATCACAGATTGGTGTGTTAAGCATCTTGCGTCATTACAATGCATACAGCTGCTCTTCCTCAAATTTCAAGCTATTTTTTTAAAATCCCCCTCGCCAACTCAATTTATTCAGTTTCAGTACGGAGCAGGAAAGTACAGTCTTTCTCATTTGTAGACGGAGGCGTGGGGGACACACTTAGGTCGTTCCCATCAGAAACAGCAGAAGGTTGAACGTCTGTATGTAATAGCCGTGTCAAACAGCAGGCCCTAGAAAAGTTGCAAAGAAAGTTCATCCTGAGTTTTTCCTTTTTTCTTCTTTTTTTTGGGAAACCTGGGTCAGCATTTGCGAAGGTCCATTTCTGCATAAGTGAGCACACAAACCCCAGTGCCTGTTCAAATAGTCTGCAGCTCTCTCTCAGGCAGCTCATGACAACAGCCCAGCAGCAGCACTGTTTGATCTCCAATGTTTTCCTTAATCTGGGTTGTCAAGGTTCGCTTGTTGGAGGCTGTTTACTTTACTTCTCCTACAAAAAAGTGTTTTTTTCCCCTCAGACAATGACTAATCCAAAGACCAAGAAGGAGGGAGCACTGCCAGCAATAGTTGTTAAAGCTGCAGTTTCCCTTTTGTAAAATTTCAGATTTTAGTTGTCAGCTGCAATCTTAATGTATGAAACATTAGGGCAAGACTTTATTTATTTATATTTATTTACTTTAGTTATTAAAAAAAAACTATAATAATTTTTGGCACTATTTTAATTCTGCCTAATATTAAAAATTAATACAGACTGAGTGTATCAGATAATTTGTTTATTAGTTATCCACTGTATTTGTAAATAGTGCTTATTTGCCTGTAAGACCCCTTTTAAAAATACACGTTAAAATAATTTTAAGAAAATGTTTTAACGTGTTTGCAATAGGTGAGCTTAAATGCTACTGTGCTGTACAACATTCCTTTGCACAAATGATAATGTTACTGTCTATTAGTTTAAAAAAAAGTTTAACTACACTATTGCAACAACTTGATCTGCAAATATTAAATTAACAAACAAAACAATCTCCATTTTCCGTACAGTGATCGCAGCTCCAGCCAATTTACATTTATGAAAATGTTCAACTGTAACCCACAGCACATCTTATTCAACACAACCATTGTCTCACATCCTGTGCAAACCACTATAAAAGTTGAAATATATAACGTTTAACACTTTCAAAGCGCTATTTTACGTTACCACAGCCATAATTAGGAATTAACTCCGTAATTCCTTTGTGTTAATGAAACGTTACGAAATGAATATCCGCTTTTACTTGTGTTGGGTACACAGCCTTACCGCTGAGCAGGGAAGCCACACCGAAAGAACACGCTTGAATAACGCAACTGATGGACAGCTAAATAAAAGTAATGATAACTTTCAAAGTTGAGGGCTTGCTACACTTCTGACTTCCTCCGGTCTTTCTGAGTTTGGAGCACAGCTAACACGTGGGGAAAAAGCTCCATCCCTGGTTTCACTCCAAAAAAATCACGGCACTCAAAACTTCCCCTTCACCGTGTAAAGTTTAACAAAAAAAACAACTTTTACAGCGCATCCTTAATATGTAGCGTAGTAATTACGGTCTGTTAGCGGCCATTGCTAAGCAGCACGTTATAAACATGTAGCATTCATTTTGAAAATACTTTTTGGACGAGAGGTGCATTTCCCCCCGGGGTCTCACGAGTAGCCTCAACTAAGTTAGAAACCCAACTTTTCCCAAAAAAGAAAAAGAACAAAAAAGCAGAGGGTAAATATAGAGTCGTAAAGATATTCTTGTAAAAGCCGCTCGGCACAGCTGCATTAAAACGGCGCTACCTATCGCCCTACGTTATAATAATACAGGTGTATATTTATTTCGCTATTTGTAACAATTCGGCAAACAGCAAGACAAAACCGAGACAAACTCGGTGCGAGTATCCGAGTGCAGCTGCAGCAGCCGCAGCAGGTATCTAGACACGAAACAGCAAAGCTAACGTTAACATTAGAATAGTAGTGAAACTTACCAGAACGGAAAAAAACGCTTTACAGCAGCTAACAGGGCGCACGCGGAGGGTACCGATTCGCTAGTATGAGATAACGAAGCCGTGCACGCGAGCTTGTGTACCGAGAATGCGTGCAACAACAAATCACACAGTAAACAGTGAATATTACTCCGCCCGGGAGGTGGAGGGGGGGGAACTAACTAAGTAACTTAAAAGATAATCTTACCGAGGGCGTCGAAATAAAGCGAAATGTGGAGTTTCACACTCGCTGCCTGCCAGTCTTTCTCGCAGGAAAAGGCACGAGCTCCTTGCTTAATGTTCTTATTAGATTTTAACACGCTGTGAAAAGAAGGAGGAAAAAAAAGGAAGAATCGCTGATTTGGATGTTGTTGTTTTGATCTTCCAAATCCGTGACGTCATATCCACCTGAGGTAAACAACGTTCATTGCATTGCAGATCCTAACATCATAGTCACAAGTACATTTCAGTAGCACTTAGTAGCACTTAGTAGGTCCTTTCTATGGGGAAATGTAATGATATGCATTAGTTTTAGCTGAAAATGTGACAGGAGAGAGGGGGCTGTCAGAAAAGCTAAAATCTCTAAGCTCACTAATTATAACCGAGGCTGAATGAACTTCTATTATTTCAGAAAAACTCTCCTGTCTTTTTTAAAAAATTATTATTTTACTATTATTTTTTTCTGATCTATGGTTCATCATAACTCTTCCAAAGCCTCACTTAATAAAAAAGAGATAAATGCTTTGACATACTCATCATATATGTTTTAATCTCCAGCTTTGAGGAATTTTAAGCATTGATGGTGGTGGTGGGCAGTACAGACAGTATAGATAATCAAAGTCCAGGTTCTTTTCAGTATGGGCTGCATATCATTTTCTAACATGTAAGCCAGCTCCTCTGGATGTTTTAAAGGGAATGTCAGCACACCTACATTTCAACAAAGTTGTTTCACTGTTTGGAGTAACTGTTCTGGTTTAAAAGTTTTGCTCACTCTTACACAAAAGCAATTATACAAATGCAACCACAACTCAAATGCCCTGGAGAAGAGACTGGGAAGGTTTAAGTGTCCAGTTAACGCTGAGTGTAAGGCAGCATTAATGTGCCCTCAGAAAATACTCTGAATTTCTTTGATTCATTCCTCTTTTTTGGCCTTGATCAATATTGGAGAAGCACAGCTCACTTCACTGTAAAGGACATTGCATTTATCATGGCTGCATCAGAGCTGAGCGCTGCTGATGGACCTCTGATGAGAGACTGTTTCTTAGTAGAGAGCGCCACCCTCTGGTAGCACACTGTCATGAGACGAATTACTCTAATATTTCCACTGAACAAACACTCGAATTTGAGGTTATTGATATTTGACTTCATATAATCAATCCCCCTAACAAAACATGCACAATTTCATATCCACAAGCTTCTCTGATATTCATAATCCATTAATATATGCTTTTTTGTTTTGTTATTTAAGTCTTGGCATAAACTTTGTAAGTTTGAAGCATCCCATTGCACTGGTATTTAAAATAATATAGCATTTAAACCTTTAATATACCATTACTAATGATGATAAAGATTTTTATATATGTTTTTTGCCTGGTAAGTTTTCCTGCGATTCACCAACTGGAGTCTGGTGTCTGTCACTGAGCGTAATACATATACTGCTCACTGACTTGGCACCAAACACTGATTATTCCACACAAATAAAAACACTGTGCCATGATCCTAATAATATTCCTGTGTTGCCTGCAGGAGGCTGCTGTCTACAGTTCTGCACCTAAATGTCACATTTCTTATTTCTTATGTTACTGAGAGACTGTCAGGCGATCTTCTGCCCTGCTGCAGTTACCTCTGACACCATCAGCAGTGCACCAAAAGTCACAGTGAGCTGACATTGTCCCTGTTACTTCATAGTGACAGTAACAAACAGGAAAATACAGCATTACCAACTACTTCCTGTTGTCTCTTGAAATGCTTCACATAAACTAGGTCTGTAAAGGCTTTAAACATTAAAAAAGAAAAACAAACAGGTTTCATTTTTAAAATAAAAGAGTTAAAGAGAGTAAAATAAGATCCCAATTTTGTTTGTGTTTTGTGTTTAGTTTTTATTAAATAAACTGTATCAGTAAAGTGTACAAGTGCAAGTTATAGAAAAAAGATGATGTTCTAAAAATGCTTTGTTTACAGTGTATGTATTATAGCATGTAGCTCGTGGGTGTTGTATAAATTTACAGCCCTTCAAGGCCAGAGCACAAGACAGCTGTCCTTTGAGCAGTTTATTTCAATTCATTTTAATTCAGTTTCATTGGTATAGAACCAAATCACGGAGGCAGAGACACTACAATGATAGAGAGAAAACCCCAACAATCAGATGACCCCCTATGAACAAGCAACTGGAAGAATCTCTTTTAAACAGGAAAAAAACAACAGCAGAACTAGGCTCAGGGAAGGGCAACCATCTGCCATGACGGTTGGGGATGAGGGGAAGAAAGCAGGACTAACTACATGATTTATCAAAAGCCTAATCTTAAAAGCAGGGAGGGTGTCTCCTGAATCCAAACTAGCAGGATTTATGTGTTTAACTATAATGTCGGGACCTTCCTCTAAAACCAAAGTGTTCACAACTGAAGAAATAAAAACAATTAAATGCAGGCAAATGGCCAAAACCAAAGATAAGATTTCACACAAGCGAGCATACGTCTCTGTGGTGCGCTACCTGTTGTAGCCTATAAGCATTCACAGACAGATCAGTCACTGTGGGCCCTAAAATGAAGAGCCTCCTGTGAGCCTACACTGCATTTCAGTTCAAATACTAAACTGTCAGACTCAAACTTTGACACCCAAAACACGCACATCTGGCTTTTGAATGTGTCTGCACTCTCGTTGTGATGCAACTACATGATCACCACAAAATTCCTATAGGAGTTGCACTTTACTCTGAGTTGTATTTTCTGCAGCTTTTCATTTGATTAACATAAGGTTGTAAACATGATTGTCTGGTGTAATTAAAGATAAAAATCCAAATGTCTATAAAGTCTTATGGCGTTAATCTAACACACAATCCCAGCTTTCTATTCCTTCATGGGCTTGATCTGCATGTCAATACTGGATCTATGAGCTCAGCAGAGCCCAGCAGCCATGTGCCTGTGTCGGAATTTATTATCCTGTTTTGTTGGTGTCATGCTGGCGATGTGTCGTGCGGATTAAGGCCCCGACTTGATGGAGTGTAGTTACAAATTAATTGAGGATCACTATCAGTTACGTAACAGCCTCTCTACACATACGCGTGCACACAACAAAGTAATTAGCTTTCTGTTAATTAGGTAATTAAGCAAATGAATAGGAGCTCCTCTTGATTTCAAACGGGAGGGGCAGATGGCTTTCATACGGTGTTTTTCCCCTTGCTGCCGTGGGCTGTAGCACTGAAAGTGTGATGAAAGGAAGAGGACTTGAGGAGGAAGTGTACAGATAATGACCTATAAAGAACTGTTAAATGAATAAAAGGAAGAAGAAGAAGCAGGGGTTAGGTTACCAAAGACTGCCTCTGAAAATATGAATGGCAAGACTGCACAGGCCTTATATGTTTTCAAATTTTGTGAGCCAGAAAGTTAGTAAGATAATGCTCTGTTAAAATGGCATATATATACACACACATGACATTACTATATACAGGATGGACCATTTATATGGATACACCATAATAACATGGGAATGGTTGGTGATATTAAAGTCCTGTTTGTGGCACATTAGTATATGTGAGGGGGCAAACTCCTCAAGATGGGTGGTGACCATGGTGGCCATTTAGAAGTCGGCCATCTTGGATACAACTTTTGTTTCTTCAATAGGAAGAGGGTCATGTGACACATCATTCAGTGTTGGATTTGCCAAAATGTGGACGCAAGAAAACTGTCACTAATGAAGAAACATCAGTGGCTGTCCTAGCTTCATTCAGCAAGAGCCCACAGCGTAG